TTTGGATCATGTGGCTGGTTCCAGTTGGTTCAGCTCCTTGGACATGCGCAGCGGGTACTGGCAAGTGGAGTTGGCGCCAGAGGCCCGCCCGAAGACTGCATTCACCCTAGGGCAGGGACTGTGGCAGTTCAAAGTAATGCCCTTTGGTCTGTGTAATGCCCCAGCCACCTTCGAGAGGCTGATTGAGCGCGTCTTAAAAGACATCCCCCGTACCCGATGTGTGGTGTACAATGCTTTCATTTGTTGTGACATCGTTTGAACTCTGGGAAGCATCTTCACATGCACTGATAGCTGAAGAACGGGCAATAGTTTCCCTATACATGTCACTTATGCTATCCACAGAACATGCTTTATGTTTCCTGGACATGTGAGCAGTAAATGATGATTTGACAGTGAATGTGTTTTTACAACCTTTTACTGGACATGTCACAGTTCGCCCCTCAACTATGTGCTCTTTTAAGTGGGATACAAGTTCTTTCACTGTGTGAAATTGGCGCGCACACAGTGAAATGGCGCATTTGAAGTCTGTAACAACGGCTGTAGCAGTAGCAGAAAGTGTAGGCACGTTGTGAACCCGATAGAAATGAGCTTTAAAAGCTGCATAAGTACAAAATGTCCGCTTGCAGTCAGCGCCAACACATTTGAAAAAACAATGGGGTTCGTTTCTATGAACTCTACAATGCAACACATAACCCCTCAAACTCTCTGTTGTCTTACTACAAAAACGACAGGTTATCTTTTTTTTCAGACTGACAAACTGCCGGTTTTTTAAAGTTTGTACCCTCCTGGGAAAATGCAACAAAAACCACTGTGTCAATTAAGTTAGCTACAAAACGAACTGAAAGAGTTTAGTCTTATGCACGAAACCCACTAATTAGTCGGACCCAGTTAGTCAGAATTATTACTGACTGCAAAATGCACTCGCGGTTAAAGACAACATATTTCACATTTGAAGAAAGTAAACTGTTAGCTTACCAGCGCTACAGATGATGACTCTCCACGTCTTCTATAATTCAGCTCCACTCGTTGGCAGACAGGGCGCGCACTCAGACCATAGACTGTGAGCACTCGGTGAACTTCACCAATGGGCTGCTCTCGCGATAATTACGTAGTCCAATCAAAGAACAAAGATAAACTCTGCTGCTCATTGACTCGACGACACAGAGCTCATCCAGTTTCAAATTCAAACGGCGAGTATTTTCGCGGGAATGTAAAATATACAGTTAAATGTATTAATTTTACACTCAAATTGGCATTAAGGCCTTAATATTGCCACATTATATTATAAGTTAATGAAAAAACAGAAACCTTTCATTTTATCATTTACAACAGAGTAGCAAACCAAGTAGCAAAAATAAAGAACTGATGAACAGCTTTGGAGAGCTACTAACTGTCCATTTGGAAGACAAAGATAAAATTTCTGTAGTTCCATCACCAGTCACCTTATATGTAAATAGCCTCAAATTAAAATTGAAGCCTGAAAATAAACACATTAGGAAATCATAATGAATTTTCCTTTAGTTCCAATGTGACACGCAAGAAAAATAACCTTTTTGGCAATGTCCTAATATTTATGGTCTAGCTGTAAATTAATCTGTCCACAATATTAGCTTTATGTTCTGTGTTCACTACAATCAAGTGCACTTAGCTATGCCATGGACATTTTATTTTGTACAGTGAACATAAATTGTAAAGTGCAGGTTTTAAGGAACACTTCAATGTAATGCTCAGATGTTTTAAAATCCACAGGTTATTAGCTAAACTTTATTAGGGAGTGAAATAACCTTAGAAATATCAACTGGACTAGATTTCTAGATCGAAGACGTTTCACCTCTCATCCAAGAGGCTTCATCAGTTCTGACTGACCAGAGATATTTATCCCCCTGAGTGGTGTTTCAGTCCTTAGAAGGCTAACAATGTCCCATAACGACTGAGTCCAGTTGATTTTTCTAAGGTTATTTTATTTTACTATGACCTGGATGACTGAGAATCTGCACAGACTTTATTAGGGAGGGTATAAAAGTAGTCCATACACTGATCAGCCACCACATTAAAATCATCAAATATTGTGTAGGTCACCCTTCTTCTTCTTTTTCTTCTTCTCTCACACCAACTAACTTCATGTCCTCTTTTAGCACATCCATATATCTCCTCTTTGGCTTCTGTCTGAATTCCTCACAACATTCTTTCTTTTTCAACTTCCACCACTTCTTCTCTATCTTTCCTCTCCTCTTCGTCCTGACTTTCAGAGTCATCCTACACACCACCATCCGATGCTGTCTGGCTACACTTTCTCCTACCACCACTTT